TCTCCTCCATGTTTAATTTTTCATACAATTGGAAAGCCTACTAGGTAGGTATAGATTCGATATCGAGATATATCTATGCAAAGGTAGGTAAGCATGATAGATACACGAAGTGATTAATCATTACCTAGACATGGGAAGATAGAAAGATAGAAACAAATAAACAAGTAAATTCCTCCTCCTCTTCATCTCCCTCTTTCCCATGATCTATGATCTCCACGGTGATAGACAACTTCAATGAAAGCGATTTCCTCCCGCTTCACTTCTGCGCGCTGAGCCGACTGAGTTTCTGCATTTTCTTCATTTGAATATTTTGGATGTGAAGGGGATGTTGTGTGTGAAGTATCGAGCTGATAGGCACTACACTAGTATATTTCTCCAGGTCTTGTCTCATTATTTGCAAAGTCCTCTGATTTTCGCCGAGACGATTTTTGGTTTTGATAAGAGCATGCAGTACGGAGATGAGGATGGTTTGCTGCACTAGGACATAGAATGGTCCCTGTTATCGTGATCATGGTGCTTGTGGTGGTGATTTCTTCTCGATATACATATTCGGTTTTGTTGATTGGAATGCCGCGTTTGATGTGCTGCTGTAGATGTGAGGTTGAAGTGTGTGGTTGATGAGAATTGAGGTTCTGTTTATGAGGAGGGAAGTGCTGTTGAAGATGATGGATGTCGTTTTAGATATGGTGGAGTGGTTGTGAGTTTGTTGGGGGGGGGGGGCAAGCTAGACTTTGGGTTCGGTGATGTTTTGTATTTTCGATGGGTTGGGGGAGGAGAGGAGATGTATCTGCAGAATCATGCCAAACTATGTACCATGATCAAGTCTTGATATTGTTGTCAAAAGATAAGCTCATCGATGACACTAGCCTCTCGAGATTTATCATTTCCGTCTGTTCAATTTGACTATGTATTTGGGTCAAGAAAGATGCTGATTAGCAGAGCTTTTCAAGCAATGGGGGGCTTTCCAGTTTCAAATAGTGCTCTAAGATGCAATTGAACACCAGCAGCCTACCAAAATATTGATAATAACAAGAAATCGAACAATATCTCACCCCGCATACGCGATGAATCACTGTGGTTTGAATACAAAGATTAAAGTAGGTAGATGAAATAAATGGGGAAAGGAAAGTGCATCGAGGCAGATGATTGTAATTCGAAAAGGGGTCTGAATACTCCAGGGTGGAGTGGTTGCAGAAGACAGATAAGGCGTTGAAAGATGTCAGAACGAAGTGGTATATTATGTCAACTGGTTCATTCCGAGTTGAAAGACAGGGAATTCTTCTTAGAACGTGGCCGCACTTCTGTCCTCAGATATTCATTCCAAGATCATAGGAATCAAACTTCCGATCGTAAAAAGCAATGTCTTATTTCTGCTCGCCGCATATTCCTCTCGATAGTAACGCTAGCACATAGGCTTCACCGGACTCAATAATCTTCCAGCTTATAAACTTCATAAGCCGGTTCCTCATATGGATGAACTCTAACAAACGCATTAGGAACGAGAAGCACGATAACATAAGAATCAAACTTGCTTCTTCAAAGCTGCAACCGCATTTCTGATGGTCTCCTCGCCTACACACAGAGTTTCGAACCTGACTTCTTGCACCTCTTCCAACGCGCCTACAGTTCCGATATTTGGATTGGCGGTATCACCTGGTCGAAATTGAGCAGTGCCTGTCGTAGCCCAACAACATTCAGTATAATTTCCAGGGCCTGGATAACGTCCAGCTCCGGCGGCGAAGATAGCAGCTTTACAGGCTGGAAGTCCTGATGGTGGGACGAAAAATATCAGCTTGAAGCGCTTGGGTACGGCGGAGAGCGCTGTCATGTTTATGGATTGAAGTTTAAGAGGCCTCAATTAACAAAGATAGGTACATGTCGGTTGTCGGTTGTCGTCGACGATATCATGGTAAACAAACGGACACGGACAATGAATTTGTGGGGTTCTGTTTGGCCCCACGCCTGCTTATTATTGTTCAAACAAATACCAAGCTTTGTGAACCTATGAGACATTGACCATGATCTAACATATCACGACACATGTATCTTCTCATGCTGTCAGATTAGCTTTTTCAAAAGAAGTTCTACTATTGATAATTGTGAGGTCTATAAAACTCAACACTTCCACGGCTAGAGCGTTGTTTCCATTTCACAGCCTCGAAAACTACTCTTCTGCAGTTATCAATCATCCCAGCATATGAATTTTGGAGCGAGTTACATTACTGCTGTTATTGTGGATCTTTTGATTTACAAAAGCAAGAAACGCTACTTTACAACGATTATCAGCCTCACCGCTGAAAGGATGACTTCGTACCTGCCTTTAGCCTGAAAATTACTTCCCGGTTCATGACAACCTGGGTTTCCCGAGCCGCACACGAGCTGCACTGAAGATTTCTACATGGCTATACGAGGTTGCATCGAGGCTTCTCTTCATTGATTCGAGGATGTGAAGAAAGCTGACTAGCAGGACTTGCCAAGGCTGCATGACTGCGGGGTAATTCCTGTGTAGATTCGGGTTGATCAGCATTACTTGCATTGAACCTGCAGTAATATGCTTAAAGCTTAACTGATTTCACAGACAGTTTAAATTGATTCAATAGCTTCTTCTTGGCTACAGCCATTGACAACGGTTTCCACATTTATCTGAGTCTGACATGAGGTCGACATAAGTATATGAGGTCTCAATTCCAACAAGACTTGAGATGAACAGAAGATAATCTTCCATATAATTGACAAGCATTATCAAAACTTTCCATTGCTCAATTTGAGTCGGAATATTCCGCATCGTTATAATGATTTCATCACTTCCCACTCTTGGGTTCTTTCTAGTTCTTGCGGATGTCACAAATGCTGCCTTTAAACCCCCATTTAACAATACTCTTGAAAAGGGAGTAGCGACTGAATGCAAGACTTGTCCATATTCGCTTTGCACCAATAAGGAATACTACGATTACGAGACTGTTGTTCCGCTCATCTGCTGGACTACTGGTACAGTCATCGATGGTGATAGGTAAGATTCAATTCCAAGTGTGAGCTACTATATGGAATACTAAAAATTCTAGTACGTGGTTGAGAACAAGCGATGACTGCTACATAACCCAATACGACCTCGCCGATTATGCTGGAGAATGTATGTATTCTTGTAGCTCGGATTTGAATACTACTAATACTAGATACAGATGAAATCGACCTCAGCTTTTGTGGCCAAGATTCTACTGTTGAGCATATAACAACCGCTCCTGCAACCACGAAATATAATACCGAATGCAATATCTGTGATGATAATGCGAGTTGTGAGGTTATCAAATATCTGAAATATGGAACTGATATTACGGTGACTTGCTGGACTGACCTTGGAGATCTTGTGATCAATGATAGGTATATCCCCATCTCCAACCTCTTTTCTTCTCATTTCACTGCAGATCAAACAGCTGACAGCGACGGAAATAGTACCTGGTTGAAAACCACAGATAATTGTTATGTGGCACAAATTGGTCTCGAAGAGCCCGCCGATAAATCAGAGCTTGACTATTGCGGCCCAGTAGGCTTTATTCAAGTAAACTACACGACACCGGAGAAACGTGCACCTTCCCCGCTCAATTCTAACGAGAACTCACATGCCTCTCTCGCTAAGCACTCGCCCCCTTCCTCGTCTCACGATCTTAATAAACGGTACCTCCTCAACATCACAGTTGGCGAAGATTACGCTCCTTGCTACAGTACCCCCTCCTCAGCAAGTCAATTGGTCAAGAGTTATGAATGGGATCATGGTGTTTGGGTACAATGCTATGTGAATAGTTTCGAAAATACAAATCCGAATGAGACGTATTGGTATTTTACGACAGATTTCTGTTATGTGAGAGAGGTAGATTTCTGGGAGAGTTTGTTTGATCGTGAGTTATTTTTCTCTTTTTTAGTGACACGTGGAAGCGCAAAAGGGGAAAGGTGAAGAAGGATGATGTACTAATCTGAGATAGAATATCGATTCCCAAATTGCGATTTGTTTGATGGTGGAGATGGAAGTGGGGATACAGTTGACACTCGTGAAGTTTCTGATTAGAACAATACCGCTGAAGCTTCGCTTTGAGTTACTTATGTTTTAATTGTGGTTTTAGGGTTTTCACAACTGTCGTTCAGAGAATTGTCTGCTGTGCATCACCTGTGTGTCTACTATAGCTCTAAAAAGGCTGCTATACTGAAAATCAAGCAATTATTGAAGATCAGCGATAGCCACCCGTCGCTTGATTGTCAGTAGCCCCTATCTATGTTACTTGTTATGTGTACTGTACAGCTCGCCATCGAAGCATAGCCCAGATTTATTACCTCTCTTCGATGTGGAGAAATAGAAGACTGTGTACTCAGCTAGATAATGACTGTCACATACATTGTAGTATGCTTTATTTTGATTTAGACAAGTGAACGCAATAAGTAAATAGCGATTAGTGTCTTTCGGTGGCTGCTTCGCCCTTCGATGGTCCATTGAAACATTCGGATATCCTGCCCGATTGCATTCTCTGATCAGGTTCAATCTAGTTGTATGCCTGAAATGATATTTAGTAAGAATGATTGAAAGTTTGCGTGGTCCTCTTCTTCAAATTGAACGCACATCGTACAATCAGACTGATGTAAGTTTGTCAGGGTCTGGCAACAATGGGGCCAGCTGTTGGACTCTGAGATTACTCTCCGGAAGTAGAAAGTCCGAAAATTTGCCAATCGGCACTGGTTATGTTTATTCAGATACGTGCTTGACTCGGCCGCTTCTTCGCTGAAAAATATTACCTAGGAATTCCGGCCTCATTGTTCTCTCGGGTCTAAACTATGGAAAAACTAAAAAGCTATATCGTCTCGGTTCTAATGGTCTGGGGACGGCTGTTTTGATTGACAAGCTACCTCATCCCTTGGAAATAAGAGAGCTTTAGTAGAATATTTGAATTATGGTTCTAACTACGGGCATATAATTTCCTGCTGGTACTCCACTAGATTCCAATAATTATCAAAGTCTATCGGAATATTCCTTGCAGTGGTGTCTGGTCCTGGCTAATTTTGATCCACTCCATACTCTTCTTCCACAGCCTCAATTGCTTCTCTTCATCCTGGCTCTCTGTCGAGCTTTCATCCTTGTTCAACATAACATGATAGCCACTTGACCCACGGTACTCTTTCCCAACTGAGATATCAATCAGATCTGCAGCTGCGACCTTGGTGTTGCGCAATGTTGGAACTAGATATTTCAAGAGGGGTTGCAATGGACCCAGTACTCCTCTCATCAGAAACCACCATGCAGATGGTACACCAGAACTCATACATCGCGAATCAGTAAGTCCACCGGGATCCATGGCCACTGCTGAAATCTTGCTTAGCAATGGGTCCTAAAATTCACCAGTAAGTAAGTGTTCAAGCAACATTTGGTTCTAATAATACCTTGGAAAGTCTTTTGTTCAATTGATACATCCCCATAATTGCTGCCACTTTTGACAACCCATATCTTTGAAACCCACGACCAACTTCCTCTCCAATTTGATCTGGTGCGGGATGAACAAGAAGCTCCAAATCGTCAGGAAGGTTTGGGGGAAACTTTTCAAGGCCACTCTTTCCAGGGTAATGCGAGTCACTTCCAAGAATGACAATCTTGCCCCCGTCCGGCCGAAATGAGCCCAACAATCTCAAGACTATTGCAAGGTGGGCAAGATGATTGACAGCCATTGAACTCTCGTAGTTATCCGAGGTAAACTTTAAACCATCGGAAATGCTCCATGTGAAAGCATTGCAGATTATAGCTGCGAGCGGAGGCAATCTGCCTGTAGTAATGTTCGCCTTAATGACACCAGCGTAGCTCTCCACAGCGGCTAATGAGCCAAGGTCAAGTGTATGGATAGTTGATCGATCTTCAGGAAAATTAGATAGCGTTTTACGAAGCCTTTGAGTGTTCTCGTCGGATGCATTGCGGACGGTCAACACGGCGGTGTATTCTGGATATCTTGTGAGGAGGTATTCTATCGAGGGAATTGCAAGGGAGCTATTAGCGCCTGTAATGAGAACTGTGCCGCCTTCCATAATGATGAGGGGTGTCGGTAAAAGGTATGCCACTGAAAGCCAGCGACTTTGGTACCATTATAAATGCCCATCATTGCTACTCTGAGGCGTTAGCGGCGCTCAGCAACTGCTGACAAATATTTACGCGTCGTGGTCAGATTCCGGTGTAGTGTAGCCGGCTTTACTGCCCAAAAGGTCTGCATATGTAAGCAATGGCCCATTCGTACCGCAACTGTGCCACGTCTTGAGTTCTCCAATGAGACACATGCTGACTCTTCGTTTGCATTGAAATATATGGTCTTTTGACGCACTTTTATCTCTTCTGATCTTTCTTCATCATTTCTCATTCGCATTGTATCATACGACATTTGCTGTACTTATATCCTCGGTCTCATAAATGAAGAACGTGTGCATGTAGAAAATCAGGAGATGTGAAGTGTGAGTGTGGGGTTGAGTGGTCAGGGTGTATAGCTTTTAGTTTCCCACTAATAGTCGGCTCTCGTTAGTAGCCGACTAGTTCCTAGTCGGGGAAAGCAATTGTCCCGGGAAAGCGATTGTCCCGTTGACATTTTGGTAGTAGATTTTGTAATTTTCAGTGAAAAATATATGAATTTTATAAATAATATCATCAATTTTGAATGAATTCAAAAGATTTTAATATTATTGAATAGCTATAGTTTTATTAAATATAGCTTTATGATTTTTTTTGAAATTATTCAAATGCTAAAGGTTGTGTACTAAAAATAAATTGGATTTTTAATAAAATTTGATGATTTTAGTGTATTTTGCACCTAAAATCTCAACGGGACAATTGCTTTCCCGGGACAATCGCTTTCCCCGACTAGGAACTAATCGGCCACTAACGAGAGCCGACTATTATTGCGCACATACTACTGTACGCTAATCTCGTATGCCACCGCGGAGAGGAACAGTATATATCTTAGTAGCTTGTTAAAGATAAATTATAATTTCCATTCTAGTGACTAATAGTCGGCTCTTCCAAGCGGCCTCCTAGTTCCTAGTCGGGGAAAGCGGTTGTCCCCAAAAAACTTCGAAAATACTATAATAATTGAATTATATCAACTACAACCTTTATAAATTATATAAATATTAATAAAATATTGATTTTTATTATTTATTTATTATATCTATTATAATAAATAAAGTTAAAGCTAAATGTGGTAGATAATATTATTGAATTTAATGAGATTATAATATCAAATCTATTATTCTTTTTTTCAAGAATTGAATAAAATACCTATCAAAATTTTTTGGGGACAACCGCTTTCCCCGACTAGGAACTAGGAGGCCGCTTGGAAGAGCCGACTATTAGTTGTACATCATGTTTAGTTCAGACTTTGTTGAGATTTCAATATATGCTAAATAGTCAAGATTGAAAAAAAAATAGGTGCAGAGCCAGTTCAATTTGAAAGGCATAAATCTAGCTTCGCAGGGTAGCACATTTGATGGACTGAATGGCGATTAGATTGATTTTGGGTTGAAGCAATTGTTACGAGTGTGCATTGAGAGCTGACTGGCTAGAAAAACGTGCATTCTAGTTGTACAATTCCTCATTGGTGTAGAGTGGATGTTATCTCTATATTCTACCCCATCTAGCATCTTGTCAGAGTTAGCAATTACACGACTTTTAGATATTAACATAGTTTTAATTTTAAAGCTTTGATTCCAAGCATCCAAATTTAGCTCCGCCACGTTTCTTTCTTCTTCATCCTCCATATAATCACAGTTTTAGGGAAATGATGTCAGCTTCGGCAGATTTATCGGCTAATCGACTATGTGAATTACCGACTACCAACTGATATTTCTTATCATGCTGTTTGATCAATGTGTACGACAATCGGCACTCTCATCTTCGGACGTCGTATTTTGGATGGATAGTACAGGATGATTTTTCACATGGTGCCCTAGATATTATCATTTCATTGCTTTAAGAAGTGTGCTCAGTACGTAGTAATAGTTCCACACACGAAGCTTTATAATGAGGCATTGTTTTGAGGTAAACAAGAAACGGTTAGGTCAATCTAGGCGATGCATCAAACTGCTAACCATAGACTCTGTCGAGTTCTTCAAGAGGTTCAACGTCGAGCTTGTTGATGTAGGGTGTAGGGAGTATGATGTATAGCATGAGAGGGGCGATAGTAAATTACTACATGATTATGAGGTTGAATCTGCTTCGGCGTGAATTAGCCCACTGTAGGAAAGTATGGGCTTGTGAATAAATCGATTGATCTACAGACCTCCGGCGCAAAATGTATTCTTCGTATATTCAACTCTGAAGTTGACACTTTTGAATATCTTGCCAGGTAGCGTTCTCAAGTTGCAGTATTACTCCACAACACGCCATATGAGATCTCAGTGTACGCAGTCTTTTTGAGCATTGGGATTTTACTGCAAACTGAATACTGGTAAAATTGTCCGAACAATAGGTTATCGCTTAGATTAATGCCTTTAAATCATGTCAACGAACTGATTGTGGAATTAAGGATCGTCGATCACATGAATCTTTTTGTATCTATCCAACTGGACATAGCATCAAGTTTCCACCCGATTATGAGAAAACACCATGTACCCAATTTGCACGACCTTCTAATCTTCATTCATTTCAGGGCAATAGAACCCTTCATAACACTTATTAAGATTCAGGGAACGTGCAGAAGATATCAACCTACGACACGATTCAATATTTAAAGACGTCTTACTCGTAAAAATCGGTTGCAGAGACCTCAGAGTTCTATTGAACATTAAAGAAAGTCTCAACGAGAACGGGCTCTTGTTGTGAAATCTACAGGTGTATCAGAAAGTCAAATTAAGATGAGATACATGTAGACGATTGTGCGAAGATGCATCTAATAAAGGGGGTAAATTGAATCAGGAGAGAATCACGCAAAATAACATTGAATAGACATTCGCAAAGGCCTACGATCGACTGAATCCAACATCTAAATACGTATTTAACTTGTATACAAGCAACAAATATCTAGGTACTTAAAATACATGCTTCAAACGTGTGGAATCTTAGTCCGTATGTGATATGATGTCTTGGATTGAAAGTGGGTCGAAAGTCTAAGATAAAAACGATTGATGATCCTGATGATCCTGATGAAACTAGCGGCGGATATCAATTCTAACGTTCCTGCATGTATGAACTCATGTCGGTGAGCGGGTCCACAACGACCACTAGAGTATCTAGTGCGAGCGTTAGAGTCTAAACCTAGACGATATAGAGACTGCTAAGATCAAACATTCAACCGAGAGTCCTGGTTAAGATATCTTTTAAGCATATACTCAAAATTCTCTCTGTTGTTCGCTGCTATCGCTATCGTCTTTAGTCATAGTCTTTGGGGATTGAAATGCTATGGATCGAAGGAGAGAGCACGTAACATAGTTGATTGATGAACAGAGCCAACGCCAAATCACGGAGCCCACAACGCAGCGGCAGTCATTGCAACTGTCGATGATCATTGTAGATCAATGGGTGCATTCTCCCTTGATTTCATTCTATCAGAGTAAATATGAGAGATCTGTAACTGAACGATGGAATTTAAATTTCGTAGCAAACTGCATGGCAGTTGCACCCACCGCAGATTTCTAAGGGGTGCTCTTGTAGGAAACTATTTGTGATGCGACAAGTTTAAGATGATCAAAGGGATAGACTCACGATTATGTGCCTTTACATGGTATGATGAATGTAAACACTCAATTGGGCATTGGTTATACTATAGATCGATTGTCACATTCCACTTAAACCCATATCACTAACAATGTAATAGCAGACATGGATGAAAGAAACCCCATACATAGTAAGATAAATTGTACCACTTGCACTTGATAATGTCAACTGAGTAAATAATAAGGTCAATAATTCATGTAATGACATAATTGAATAGCAATTGCAGAAAATAAAAGCGGAAGCATCCAGTCAGTTATTCAGTCAGTCAGCAAAAGTCTTGAATCATTAACCCAACCAAAGTCATTTTAAGGTATCAAAAATCTTCGTGAATGTATTATACATTGAAAAAAATATCATTAAAATCGTGTCGACGCATCCCACCACATATCCAACCATTAAGACACGATTACAACCCCATTCCCATTACACCAATTCGTTCCCACATTATAATTCCTCCTCATATTTTTTCCAAACCCATCACCCTACAACAAAAAAGCAGCAGCTCCCATAATCGCAGCTCCGATAGCTGGAACCCTGGTAGCCATGGCACCTGCACTGCTGCTACTCGAGCTTCCGCTTGAGGTTCCACTCGAAGAGGCCCTGGCGGTAGCACTAGCAGTTGAAGTAACGGTGTTTCCATTACTGTCTGTAGTAGTAACAACAACACTTCCGGTTGATTGAGCACTCTGACTGGCACTTGCAGAGGTTAAGCTTGCTTGACTGCTAATCTGACTAATCTGCACACTCAATTGACTCCTGATTGCACTATTTGTCTCGGTGGCTGCTATAGCACTCAAGCTGGAAATGTATGAGACAGCATTTGCGGAAGCGTCAGCAGCGCCTGCGGTAGAGATGGAGCTGGCGATTGCTGCTTGAGAGCTGAGACCTGCGAGTTGAACAGTGAGATGGGAGATTTGAGCGCTGAGTTGTGTTTTTTGACCAGCATTGGTCTCGGTTGCTAGTTGAGCGGAGAGGATGGAGAGGGCAGATTGATCTTGTTCAACAGCGCGGGAAAAGGCACCAATGTCTGATGAGACGGTGCTGGCTGCAGTGGGCACGGTGGCGGGGGTTGTAATTGTACTGTCCGATGCTGATTGTGCAACGGCCAAGGAGAGAAGAGGAACAGCGGCGAGGATTTGGAAACGCATTTTAAATTTGTTGAGGATTGAGATTGAGTATGTTTGACGAGAACTTTGAAATGATTATTTTAAGATCAAAAATCTGAGCAGACAAATATTTGAGAGAGAGCGAGAGAAGAATTGATATATTAGGATATTGCACTTGTAAAAGAATAAAAATCAAAGGAGTACAACAATTTCCCCAAGTGCAACTTTGCACCTTATTTATATCTCATTCAATTTCGCCCGAGGCGCGTAACAACCAATCCGTGGTTCATTGCCTAGGTTCCCCAAGCCAAATGCAACCATGGCAACGCACTGGAATTGGATGAAACCTTGCTCATTTCCCCGCCTAGTAAGATGGACATGTCCAAGCCATCTTGATTCTTCTCATACTCGTCACGTCAATATTGGACGTGAGTACGTATACCCCGGACTTTCTTCAAATGTCTTACTTCGCTTCCCCAATCACAGATGAGCTCGGATCGAAACGTAAACAAACGGAGTAAAAGATCCACTGTCTTGCTCATGGTTTTTGCTATGCTAAACGCAGGTTCGATTGTTCTTTTCTAGAGTGTCGATGGTGCATACTAGCCACACCATATTATACATTGTTTTTAGTAAACATAAAGAAACGCCTTCTGGTATGGAAAAATGGAAAAAGTAGGACAATTTTGAGCGACTTGCTTCTTTGCCCAGCATTGGCATGCTTGGGTTAGCAACTCTAATTTTAAGGGTCCGGGGGGAGCAACAACCAGAAAGCCAAAGAACTTCAGATATCACAGCCAGAAAAAGCTATCAAAAAGCTATCAGAACTCAGGTTTTCTTTTTTCTGAGATACTTGACATCTCATGACTCAAACGACTTACCATTTCGTACAATTGATCCATTATCGCCTTCGTATTCGAGTTTTTCACCACCATCACTGCCACCATCAGATTCATCGTACCTAATACATTGTACCTTTTTTCGCAATACGAGTCTATTTTGGTCGATCTGCATTCCTAGCTGCATCTCCAACGACCACCACCAGCATATTGGCTTGGAGACTACCACGCCTACTTCGTAGTTAGTTCACTCTTCAACAAATCAACAAACAACAGATCTGATGACTGAACACACCACACCACAGTGACCACACCCACTCTCCAGTGCCCACTCTTTGATTTAAGTTCATCAGCCACGGGAAATCAACATCAATGCGACTGCGGCTATTTTCTTCCTTTGCTCCAAATTCTCAATCCTCATCCCCACAACGAACGGAACCCTTGGCATTTTCCTGGTCAATTAATAAAGGAGCAGTGGATCGCTTTTTCGTTTTTTCCCATCTTGAATCTGAAAGAAGGTGGATGATGGATTAATTCATTCTGATCATCGCCGAGGGGTAAGTTTATCGACGCTTGACCATCATCACATGATCCAATCAGCTTTTCACATGCCGAATTCACTAAACCCACACCCAATTGAATGTAATAACACCTCCATGGCAAAACAGCATCAAGATCGAATTGTCCAAGACATCCACCAGAGACCACCATACTTGGTGGTCTGACGCAGATTTCAGATTATTATTTGTTTTCCCGAAAACGGTCGGTAGGGCCTAGACAAGATACAAAGATAGAAGAGACAAGATTTACATCGTTCATCTACCTAGGCAGCAATCGAGAAAGCTTTCGAACCCTGATCGTCGCTCTTGAAACAAAATTCTGTTTTCTATACTTCCTTTCACACAAGTTGATAGATTGTAGATAGTCCAGCGAGACTTATCATTTCAATGTTCCATCATGTCAAATCTTTTTGGTTTGCTATTTATAATCGATATCAGAATTTCGCGTTTTATATCATTCCAGTCCAATTAAGTACCATCTACACCACAAAGAAAGAGTCGCATGAATACTTGCCTAGTAGTGAGTTTACTACTCGCAGCTTGAGAATCTTCATATTATACTCATCGGATGCTGCTTCTATGAATACTACCTTTTTGATGCCCTTCATCCCTTTGCTTTGTTTCATACTGAACACATCGTTTTTCAAGAATCAAATCCAAATACATTGACTCTATCCTCCCTCTTAAAAGTTTTCGAGAGCAGAGCATCTACCCACTACAAAGTATATCCTTTCAAATAAGAGACCACAGGTATCACTTTAGTAACTATCTAGGGATATGAGTCACATTACACGCTCTTATTCCGAATCAATACCAATCGCCCACTAGTAGGGATTTAGATGAATATTTAGAAGGCTAAACCGGCATGATTTTCTGAGTCACCTTGTATCATAAAGATACCAGTTGATTCACAATCATTCTGACAACTCCTCAAGACCCTTTCTCACTATCTATCCATCTATCCAAACTCAAAAGCATCTCACCACAGCACACTGATAATCATCAGACTTAGCCTCACCCAGCCCAAGGGTCCAGATACATTCATAGCGATCCTTCCTAACCAATCACAGAATCAATTAATTATTCATGCTATTCTTACCATCCAGTATTTTTCTCTAGAATCACAATAATGCAGAACGAGGGAACTCGTAACGCGATCTACCAGTCCGTAGATTGAAGTCTCAGCGCTGACACGAATCTGTGTATACATTCAGACAACAGTCGCAGCATGCATAGAATTCCATTAGAGAGCCCTACATGGAGAAACACATGACTCTTACAAAGACTCGAACAAGAGCCGAGAAGAATATGCGATGGTAGGTACAATTCAGAGAGACAAAAAATACGAAGAAATCACACAGTAGGAATCTTTCAAATATCATCTTTCTATCTATCCCAGGAAGGAAAATCGCAATGATAGTGAGCAGGAAGCAGGAAGAAAGTATACCACCCACGCATGTCAACAAAAATTCACCACACAACAATAATATATTAATAAGTCGACAAATCTCCTAGCCCAACTCCTCTCCCCAAAAAACCATACCAACAATCTCGAAGAACACTACATAGTCTCCGATATATTACAACCCTTCATAAAATCATACCATATACCATATACTAGCCAGTTGCCAGATATATCAATAATCATTTATCTCTATTTACTTCGCACATACAACCACACAACCACACAACCATACAACCATACAATCCACATAAGAAATTTCCACTTCCACTTTCTCTCCTCCATGACTTTTCCCCAAGTACAAATTTACGTATTATCAAACTATATCAAAATCTCTCATTATAAACCTCAATTCTCCAATTCTCCAATCACCATTACCATCTCCACCCCCGCGCCCTAAACTCCGACCTTCCTAATCCATCCATCCATCTCACCACTCACCCACCAAAATTTCTACCAACCCACCAAGCGAGTGACATCTACACACAGCAGTGGACCCTGAACACTTGGCATATCACATCATGTAAATTTGGTCAGCCCACCTGCACCCACCAATCACATCAGCCACCGTTACGATTGTGACTCTTACCGTGCGGTAGCGCGAGTGGTATCACGTTTTATTTTTCCTTCTACTTCTACATGTATGTACGTATATGTTATATATATATATATATATATATATATACCTATATATGCATATTAAATTCCTCGCTTTAATTTATCCTTTACATTTTTCATACATATATTCATTCATACACACATTCAATCAATCATTCTCTTTCTCACTAATCTCTCGAACCCATCTCCCATTCACACCTCATAAAAATGCCCATCCACCACGATCCCCTCTTCCCCACCCTCACCCTCAATTCCCGCAATCCCCTCCACCAAAACCTGATCCTCACCCGTCCCCGCCCCTCCGATGCAAGAAACTCCATCATCGCGTTTGCCGATCCCGCCGTCTATCTGAATCTGACCGGTCCTCCGTTTCCCTATACCCAGGACGATTTCGATTCTTTCTTCAACGAGGTACTGGATAAGAATTCTCGGGTTGCCGCTGCGGAACTGTGGGATGCGAAGACGGCGCAGGAGGATGGGTCACCGGTGCAGAAATGGGTGGGCGCGGTTCCGTTTCCGAGTATTAGGGAAGTGAGGGTGGGGGAGAAGGGAGAGAGGATAGAGGAGTTTGTGGGGCAGATAGATATTAGGCGGAGGGGCTTTGTGACGACGATAGATGAGGAAGAGAGGAAGAAGTTGGCGAAGGAGAATGCGGATAAAAAGACGGGAGATCCGGAGATTGAGTGGGAGATTGGTTGTATGTTGATGCTTTTTTTGTCTTTTCTTTTTGGAAGCGAACTTTATGAAAAGGATGGTTATGCTTGGTGGTAATAACCATGCAAGTTGACCTGTGAATTAGGATTTCATAAGTCTACGGCTAGATATACGGCTCAGCTCATAGCCCCATGTCGCCGGTCTGGTCCATTTGATAGTATCAAAGTCTTCTCCTCACTGAGATCTATCTTCAAGCGAAAATAGTTGTCCGGTCATATCGATTCCAGAAGTCCTTCACAATTCTTACTCCTACTCCCCAATCACATTCCTCTTCCACGACTTTCCCAACCCACTAACGTCGTCTCCAGTCTGGCTCCTCCCTTCTTACCACGGCCGCGCCATCATGCCTGTTGTTCTGCAAACCCTCATTTCGGAACTCTTCATCCCATATATGAATTTGAGTTTCTTGACGGGTGAATATTTAGAGTTCAATAAAGCGAGTAAAAGAGTTTTTGAAAAGTGTGGATTTGTAGATGAAGGGATTACGGATGGGGTGGAGGCGATCCACGAAGGGAAACGGGGAGCATTGGGCGTGCTGTTAGAAAACTTGAAGAGCAATGGGGATGACGAAATATGGGAGAAAGCCCAGAGAAAGGGCTGGTTGAGGGGAGAAAAGGTGGGGGTGGGAAGCTTGAGATGGTGCAGAGAGGGAGAAGTGAAGGAGAAAGAAGACGGAAAGAGGGAGGATGGTAAGATTGTCGAATAAGGCAATGCATGTATGATTTGGGGTGGACGAAACTTTGAGGGGAGAAACAGATGAGAAATTTTCCGCAACTATAACATCATGACGCCCGCATTATATACAATAGACACTTCAACAAAATTGCCCTCTTTGGCAGAGACATGTAA